TAAGGCTACAAAAACGAGCTGCTAGAATAGTTAAAAATAATTTTGATTTTATAAATTTTCGTGGAATTGATCTTATTAAGCAAAATAATTGGAAACTTTTTGATGAACGTAGAGATTACGCCCTTGCATGTTTAATGTACAGATGTATAAATGGTGTTGCGCCTTCCCGCCTATGTAATGATATAGAAATGGTTGTTGACCGACATGGATATTCTACGAGATACGCTCACTCGCTTAATGTTATCCCCCCCAATTCCAAATGCTCTGTAACCAAATTGCTCTGTAATGAATGGCTCTTTAAGAATCCCTGGAGCAAAAGTTTGGAACAAAATCCCAATCAGAATTCAAGAATGTCAATCTCTTAATTTATTCAAAATTACTTATAAGAAACACTTTTTTTGATTTCACAATTCATTTCCTTTTATATTATCTTGGTCTATACTTTTAACATTTATTCCCAGCACCGAAACTTGGACTCAGAAGTACCGGGATGGTGTCCGGCGGGGGATAGTTTTTACCATTGTTTAGTTAGGTTTGTAGTTAAGATAAAAGTTGTGACAGCCCCGAAACATTGACTCAGTAATACCGGGAGTGTGTACGGCGGGGGATAGTTTCTACCATTTTTATCTATTTAAGTAATTATACAGGATTTGTCCTACCTGGTAATTCCGGCCCCGAAACCTTGACTCAGAAATACCGGGTTGGTGTCCGGCGGGGGATAGTTTTTACCATATTGTAGTTAAGTTGTAGTTAAGCATAACCTTGAGCTATAATTCCTGGCCCCGAAACCTTGACTCAGAAGTACCGGGTTAGTGTCCGGCGGGGGATAGTTTTCCACCAAAGTTTTAACTGTTGTTTATTTTGTTGTACTGTGATGGTTACTTTTGTTGTTGTTATTGTAATATGTGTTTGCAGGACCATATTGTAAAACAGCGGTAAGATCTCGCCCGTATATGTTATCCTGCCTAAAGATGTTTTAAATAAATACCAATCTATATTGCAATTCATGGTAATTATATAGTTTATCTTCCGTTGTTAATTAATTGTGAATTACAGTATATCACGATCACAGTCTACCGATGGCTTTGTACACAGTTTTTATTTGCAATATGTATGTGCATCACAAACTAAGTACCATAGTAACAAAATGTCTAGTCAAACCTGTTGAACCTCATA